TTTCCACAATGGTTGTACCATTTTACAGTCCCACCAGCAGTGTATGAGAGTCCCAATCTCTCCACAACCTCGCCAGCATTTGTTATTTTACATTAACTCTTTTAATTCTACCAGCAACCCTGTGATGCAAGTACTGATGAGGGGACACACATATGTCAGGGCCTGGAGTGGGAATTCTTGGCAGTATGGCTTCATTGATCATTAATCATCGATTTAAATATATTGTAGTTGTTAGTTGCATGGAATTGATTCCAACTCGTGACCTTGTGTATGGAGAGCTGGACACCTCCATAGGGTTAGGGCTTTGAGGCTGTGACCTTTCAGAAGCAGGTTACCGGGTTATCTTCTGAGGTCCCTCTGGGTGTGTTAGAACCACTGACCTTTCAACTGGCAGTCAAGCTCTTAATCACTTGCACCACATATATGGCTTTTAAATGATGCTTGTGAAGAATATTTAGTCATATGGGAAGGCATTCATGGCCACTCAAGAATCAAGATACAAATATATATACTTAAATACACACACATATGCACACATAGATATAGTACAACCTAATTGATTTTTATTTTTCTCTCTGGAGCATTCTATATTTTTTCAGATTTTTTTAGAATGAGTATGTGTGTGTGTGTGTGTGTGTGTGTGTGTGTGTGTGACTTGGTTTTAGGTATTCTTTCTATTTTAAAGGATGTTTATCATAAATAACTCTAGAATGCAAAAGAAAAAAATCCTCAAAATCCCACCGCACAGAGAAAAATGTTACTGAAATTTTAGCCAACAACTTCCCAGACATCTGTTTGCATATGCAAATCTTTGAATCAATTTGCACACACTCAACCTTCAGATTAAACAAATTCAACCCACTATCATCCAATTGATTCCAATTCCTAGCAACTCTATAGGACAGAATAGAACTGCCCTGTAGGGTTTTCAAGGCTGTAAATCATTCTGGAAGCAGACTCCCTCATCTTTCTCCTGCAAAGTGGCTGGTGGGTTCAAACTACCAACTTTCTGGTTAGCAGCCCAATGCTTTCATCCCTGCATCCATAATTTTACATGATCGGGAGCTGCTTTTTCACTCAATAGTAAATACATTGTGAGTATCTTCCCCAGTTCATAAATGTACATTGGATCAACCTCCATGGAGAAAGGCACCACACACACTTTGTTTAAAGTGACCCCCACAGTGATGGACATTTGGTCTGCTTCCAAAGTTTGGCTGTTATCAGTGATGCTGCAGTAAGCATTCTTGTACGCATCCCTTTGGGTGCTCGTCCAGTTGTACCACGTTTATGACTGTATACAGTATACTTCAGTTTTCTGTCCGTGATGGGAAGGGGCACGTTGATGTGCCGTTTCATAATGCTTGCTAGCTTGTCCTCACACCTCTGATTTCTAGGCATTAAAAATGAATTCTGCTGACATAGAAAGATTATGCTCAAGCCAGGTGGAGTTTCATGAATCCCTCTGGATCTTTGAAAACAGTGACATGCTTACCCTTGGGATGGAAGAGGTAAGTAGCGCCTTGTGGGTCCTTCCCTTATGGAGCACCTGCCCCAGGTTGGAAACGTAGGTCTCGCCAGCACCATTGCCATCATTACCATCATTAAAACAGGTCATAAATGCCTGTATTATTAGGGTGCTGGGTTGGTTACCTTCCATAGAGTCATTAATTAAAAGCAGGAATTTATCTGTAAGTTGACTAATTTAATCTTTGGAGGTCCTCCATCCTGGTAGCGGCTCTGCTATGGAATGACTTCTCCTGCAGGTGTTTGATATTTTGCCCCTCTACGGAGTGCTGCAGCCATACAGTAGCCTCCAGGTGTCTTTCACCTTCTATGGACACTGTGACATCATGGCACGTACAAAAGCTCTTTGTGAAGTGGAAGGAGGGCCCACCTATGAAATAACACTGAAGGGGGAAGCATCCCTGGTCAACTATTCCTTTGACACCAAGGAAATCAACTATGGACTGCAGGTATTACAAGCCATCGGGTGGAAGCCAGACATCGGCCATAGGCCTCACCCCCTCATCTCTCCTGGAACCCCTGGACAGATCACCAATCACCTTGTCTCGCAGTTACCCCATCCTTGATTCCCTAATCTTCCTCCCCAGCCCATCCTGCTTTGTTTTCACCAGTGTCTCCTGAAACACAGCATGTAAGACGCTAAAATTTTCATCTTCCCTCTCAATCCAGAAGCCCATTCTAAGCTCTTCATGTCTTTCAAGAGTGCTTCCCATCTCCCCAGCGCCTTGGGTTTACAGTCCAAGGTGTTCTGCACTGTGCTCTCTCCTTTCCCTCCCCATGGCCTCGCAGTGCCCGGGCTTTGCTAACTCATCCACCGGAGTCGGAGTCTGCTTTTCCTTCCATCACCGCTGCTGTTCTCACACTCAGGGCCTCCTCAGGCCAGGCCTGAATGATTATGGCAGTTCTTCTTAAACTGCAGCATACATACAGCTCACCTGGGGATCTTGTTAAAATGCAGAGTCTGATTCGGTAAATGTGGGGGGTAGGGGATGCTGAGAGTTTGCCTCTCTGATGTGCTCCCAGGTGACGCCAGTGCTGCAGGTCCATGGACTGCGCTTTGACGGAGCACAGTGCATTCTTAGCTCCTACCACTGACCCACATAAACATCATTGCCAGATCTGTTTTCCCAAAATTGTATTTTCACTCCATCAATCCCCTGACCAGTTAACCCCAGCAGCATCAGAGGAAACAATATAGTGTTGAGAAAAGAACATGGCTTTTATAGTCAGAAGTGGCATGCTATCTTGGTTTTATTACCAACTATCAGAGTGACTTTGGGCAAACCACCTGACCTCTCCAAGCCTCAGTATCCCTTGTCTATATGATAGGAATAGGGTAGCAACGCCTGCCCCATCAGATGGCTGTGGTTACTAAAGTAAAAGTACCTGATCGGTTTCATTCCTGGGTCAGACTAGGTCCTCAGTCATCATGAGATCCCTTCTAGAAGGTCACCTAGCGCAGGAGAGCTGGGCTCCAAGCTTGGTGGAGGGCGAGCAAGCCCCTCTGCTCACTCCTACTGACTACTGACCTCTTCACATAGCAAATTTTATTTTTTACAGTTCCCCCAATGTCACCCATTCAATGGTAGCCAAGCTGGCTTCCTATTGTCCCTAACACATTCCAGTCCTTCCTGCCTCCACACTCTCTCTCATGCTATTTCTCCCATTCTCCACTCTGCCAGTGCCAAACTGTAAGGCCTAGTTCAGCCCATTCCACTGTTACCTTTTTCTTACTTTACATTCCTTACCACTTACGTATAGTCTTTGTCATATTATATACTTTCTAATGTTTGCTTCACCATACTTGTAAGTTAATTGTATGTCTGTATGTCTTCTCTTTCTAATTGGATTTTGTGTTCTTGTAGGCATAGATCATATCTCCTTTCATATTTTAATGGGGATTGGACTCCCACTGTACAGCTTCTGCATGTATACTTACTGAATTGTGCGCATTCAGGATTGTAACTAAAATCTCATTCACCCAACACCAGGTGAAGCCTTCTCCCTTTTGTAGACCAAATAGAATTCACCTTCCCTCCTCATCTCAGGATTCTCTGGGCAATTGGTATTGGCCCAGCTCAGAGTGTATTCTGGAGACACTTAGTCCTTGCCCTGGCTGAAACTAGGAACCGTGGAAGTGGCCTCAGTTCGTGGTTATTGGGCCTGCTGGACCCTGCTGCTGAATTATGTTAGCAAGATCCCAGGAAAAAAAAAAAGGAAAAGAACTCTGTGGCTTATTTCCTTCATGGACCCCCACTAAATGAAAAAAGATATTACAGTAGAACATTCTGGATTTGAATCTTCTTTTTCTTAAAGGATGGAATCTAGGAACCAAAGTGTCTTGCTGCAGAAATAGAGAAGGTCTGTATTTAAGATCTTCTAATAGAAGTTCCTCCTGATGAAGAAACTGAAGTTCAGAGAGGTTAGATGTTTAGCCACAGTCATACCTAAGGAACTTAGTTACTAGACGAACTAGGACCAGAGCCAGGCTCCAAGAGTCTAGTGCTCCTTCCTCCCCAGTTGTTGTTGTTGTTGTTGTTATGTGCCATGGAGTTGGACCTGACTCATAGTGACCCCTCCTTGAGTTTCCGAGGCTATGTCACTACGGAAGTAGATTGCCCAACCTTCCTTCCGAGGAGTGGCTGGTGGGTTTGAACCGTCAGCCTTCTGGTCAGCAGTCAAGTGCCTTAGGCACTACGCTACCAGAGCTCCTTTCTCCCCAGTAGGCACCTTTTTGTGATACTGATACGCTGGTCGGCCAGTGTCTGTGTCACAAGAAACGAAAGTCAAGTCTATGAGGTGGGTTTGTCTGTTCACCTTTGTCAAGGTGATAGCAGTATCCCAAAGGGCGGGGTGGAGGAGTTACTCTGCCCCTTACTCTCCCTTTAAGCTGTTTGACCGTGTCACGGAAAGTCAAATCACGCTGAAGAACACTGGCAAGGTTGGCTTTGCATTCAAGGTTCTTACTGACCAAGTATCTTCACCAGAAAACCTTGTGCCTGGAGTACCACTAATCGTGCCCCTCTCAGTGAGTATACTGCCCACCTCTGATGGCCATGTGTTCATGGTGGGTGGGGCCCAAGTTCAGACCTACAGACCACATCCCAGATGTGTATGGAATTATGGTAAATAGTCACTGCCAAGATGAAGGTGTGACTTGTTAAATTAAAACTAGAAAAAGTTCAAAAGCAAAAAATAAATAAATCAGTCCAGGCCACTTCACTCATTTATGCAACAAATATTTATGGAGTGCCTCATTAGCCAGATACCATCCCAGACACCAGAGATAAGCAATGAACCAGACAGGCATAAACTTTTGCACTCATGGAACTTACATCCTATTCTCAAATCTCGTTGCCATTGAGTCGATTCTGACTCACAGCAAACCCCATTGGGTTTCTGTTTTGGTTACCTAGTGCCACTCTAACAGAAATACCACCAATGGGATGGCTTGAACAAACAGGAGTTTATGCTCTAACAGTTTGAAGGCTTTAAGTCCGAGTAAAGAAGTGCCAGGCTCTAGGAGCTGGGTGAAAGCCCCTCAACCTTGGCTTTCAGCTCTGCCTCCTGCTCCCAGCCCACTGAAGCTAGAGGCTTTTCTTCACTCAGCAGTTGGCTGCTGAGGCTGCCAAGCCCAAGGTTGACAAGTAATAAGGCACAGTACTGATGGTATCAAACCACATGGTAGGCCATTAATTCAAGAGCATTAAAGGTCCCAAGGTTGGCAGAGTATGGCAGGCTGCTGAACAACAACCTGGCTACATGCAGGGTTCAAGCATAACATAAGCTAGAGACCATTCCCAAAGCTGTTTCTTACATACGGGAAGCAGACCTCAGAACCCAAGCAGCTACTCAGCTGCTCCAGTAGATTCTACGAGGAAATTACCAATCTCACCATGGGGCATAACTCCATCCAGCTGCCCAGCCACTCACCCAGGCCCAGCCAAGTTGACACATAGACTTAAACCACCACAGTTTCCAAGGCTGCAAATCTTTATAGAAGCATATTGCCTCATCTTTCTTCCACAGAGCTACTGGTGGGTTCAAACCACTGACTTTTTGGTTAGCAGCCAAAAGCCTTAAGTCACTACACCAGCAGAGTTCCTTTTCATTCCATCCTAGTGTTTTGTTTGTTGATGAATAGAAAAATAATTTATTTCTACTCATATCCTCACACTTTCCTCACTGGCTATACCAAATAAAAGCTGTTATTGTTATGTGCCATCAAGTCAGACCTGACTCACAGCAACCTCTCCTTGGGTTTCTGAGGCAGTATCTCTGCGGAAGTAGATTGCCCAGTCTTCCTTCTGAGGAGTGGCTGGTGGGTTAGAATGGCCAACCTTCTGGTTAGCAGTCAAGTGCCTTAGGCACTATGCCACCAGAGCTCCCAAACCACACTCACTGCCACTGAGTTCATTCAACTCATGGTAACCTCTCCTTGGGTTTCTGAGGTGATATCTCTATGGAGTAGATTGCCCTAACTCCCTTCCGAGGAGTGGCTGGTGGGTTTGAACCGCCAGCCTTCTGGTTAACAGTCAGATTCCTTAGGCACTGTACTACCAGACTTCCTACAGGTATGAAAACACCAGTGGACTCAGAGAGCCAAATTGGTTTTAGAAATGAATGAAGGAGGTGGTCCTGTTCAGATTATATTGATTTTTCAGTTTTAAAGAATATTTTGTTGAATCTTTGTTATGGATATAACACATAATTGTTGTGGGGGAAATTGAAATTTTTTTTTAAGAAATTATGGTTATTTATAATCCAAATATAACAGCTGTTATCATTGTGGATAATAGAGTCATTAATTTTTTGCTGCTGAAAAAGATTCCATTTTGTAACTGTATTGAAAGTAGTTTTCCATCAAGACACATTTGGATTTTTCCCAAAATTCTTGCTATTTTGTAGTAATACTGCTACAAATATTCTTGTACTTGTCTCCCGGTCCACAGCTGGAAGAGTTTCTGTAGGGACTATTTCTAGGGGTGGAATTGCTGGGCCATGTGCTATGAGTACAGTCAACTTTATAAGATGAAGCTAAAGTGTTTTGTCCAGTGATTATTCCCATTGCCCGTTCCACCAGATGTGTGTAAGAAGTTCCTCTGATGCTTATTCTCACCAAAATTTGGCAAAATTTTCCAATCTTGTGGTTTGAAAAGATCTTCATTATAATGTTACTTTGCATTTCCCTGTTTACTCATGAGAATAAGCATCCTATACCATGTCCATTTGCTATTCGTTTTCTCTCTTTTATGAAATGTCTGTGTGTGTATATTGCCCATTTATCTATTGGTTGGTTGCCATTTTTTTCAGAGCTTCATAGGACTAGATTGTGGGGGAGGGCTGTGAGTGGGGAATTACCCGCACAATCGGCCCTGTGGAGTACCTAGTCCGTCAAACTGCCACAAGCGGAGGTCCATTTGTAAGTTTTAGAGTTCTCTCTGGTCTTTCTGCCTAGGGCTTCATCGCATCACACGAAGAGCAGGTGTTGAAGGTCTGCTACTTCCCTGGAGTACCTGAGGTCTTTAATAGGAGTTTCCAGATACAGATCGCCCACTTGGACCCAGAAAATATCACCTTGAGTGGAGAGGGAATCTTTCCCCGAATCTGCCTCGATCTCCCCAGGAACCTCAAAGGTACTACTAAGCTGCTTAGAGCTTCCCCTCTGGGAGACAACAGATACATTTTTGCTTTGTTTAGTTGAAGGCTGATAGCTACTGATTTTATTTGCATAGCTGTTTTCTCCAGTCCCAGTCTGTATTTATGCTAAATTGGCAAAATTGACCCAAAAAAAGAAAAAAAAGAGTTGAATTTGACTTGGCGACCTGAGTTTAGAGAGACAAGATATGGTCCTTGGCAGTCCCAAATTAGGACTGCTGGTCAATTTTGCCATCATTGATTTGCTTTCTCTTTCTCTTTATAAAGGAAGCAAGAAGTTTTATTTCCAAAGACCTTTTCCTCCATTGCATGTTCTTCCTCTACAGTCCCTCTCTGAGTGGTCTTTTCCTAATATCCTACTCACACATGGCCATTGAGAAGCAAAGGTGGTATAAGGAGTAGAACTCTTAGGATATAAACTGTGCATAGAAAGGCCACCATAGATTCTGACTCTTTGTTTGGGAGCTCCTGGGTGGTGCAGACGCTTAAGGGCTTGGCTGCTCACCAATGGCTTGGAGGCTCAAGTCTACCCAGAGGCTCCTTGGAAGAAGGGCCTGGCTTCTACTTCCCAGAATCAGCCACTGAAAACCCTGTGGAGCAGCACAGTTCTACTCTGCCAACCGTGGGATCGGCAGGAGTTGGAATTAACTCAACAGCAACTTTGTTTGCAGATGTTTCTTTCTTTGTTTTGGAATTGCACAGTCTGAAAGCTAGGTTAGACTTTTATTAGTTGTCTGCCGACAAGCTCATTTATTTAAATAGTATTTTACTCAGCTTTTGGTTTACACACCAAGTTAGGTTCCCATTTAACAGTTTCTTCATGAATTATTCAGTGACATTACTTGTATATATCTCTTTAATTGTGTTCCATTTCCAGGACTCTAGTTTTCCTGCTTCCTTATCTTCTTATCTTTGCTTTCGAGTAATTGTTGGCCTTTTGGTCTCATACAGATGGTTTTCAAGTAGGACACCAATCTTACAGGGTATAGCCATTGTTCTGCGTGCCACACTGCTATTTCGCTCAAAGGTGATCCCTGAGGATAAAGTGTGTCTCAGGGCAACAGACTCAGGAAGTCCTCTGTTCTCTGCTGTTGCAATTTGTATGGCTCTTTTTTTTTTTTTTTTTTTTTTTTTAGGATTTGGGTGAAGATGTACAGAGTAAATTCACTTTTCATACAGCAGTTCATGTATACTTTGTCTCATGTCATTGACTAAAATTTACAATGCAGCAGCTCCCCTCCCACTTCCTCCCCATAGTTACCTCCTCCCAGTGTCCATCCCTTCATACTCTTCTGCACCCTGAGCTATCTCCCTGTGCATAAGCAGCCCTTCCTTCTCCCATGATTGTTCTCTCCAGGGCGTGTGTCTACTTGAGGTAAATGTTTAACTCACATGCCTATACTTTGTTTGGCTGGAAACCACAGTTGTGGGTTCAATTCCAGACCTGAAGGGCAGCTAGGGGCCATAGTCTCAGTGGTTACACCAGGCTCCATTGGACCAGCAAACCTGGTCCCCACCTTCTTCTTCTTTTTTTTTTTTTTTTGCCTCCAAATGATTTTGAGTTTTGTACCACATTGTTCTCCCTCTTTATGCAGGATCTCCTACATCCCTTCCAAGTGGATGGCAGGGGTAGCTGGGCACCATCTAGTTCTTCTGGTCTCATAGTTGTATAGGTTGCAGATCGGATGGTGTACCAGTCGCTAGGACTGATTGTTTCCATTAATTTTGGTTTTCTTCTTTCTTCTTGACGAGGAGAGACCCATTGTTGCATCTAGATGGCAGCTTCCTAGCTTTTAAGGTCCCAGTCGCTACTCGCCAAAGTAGTAGGTGGAACAATGTTTTGTATAGTATGTTATGCCAATTGAGTTTGATGTCCCCTGCGACTATGGTCCCAAGCCCGCAGGATCAACTAACTCGGTCCCTCTGGGTAGCTGGCTGTGACCAAGTAATGACCATAACCTTGCCCCTTGTCAGCTCTACTATACACCTGGGAATTCTGATCATTCACATGAACTTATAGGCCCATTGTCTGCCAACCCTGTATATGATCTTGGATACACTCTCCATTTAGACATACATAATTGTTTAGCTTGTTCACCCATCTGTCCGTCCCTATACCCATGTTTGCTTTCACTGACAACTCAGTATTGTATATGCAAAGGGGTTCATATTTGTTGTTTGTACTGCCCATGTAACTCTCTCTGTCTTTCTCATCCTCAATGCTGCCATATTGGTCACTCACCTTTGGTACATTGCCCTTCTCTTCACCCAAATCAGTATTTATCTCTATCTATCTAACAGCATTCCCTCCCCTTCCCTCCCACCCCTGGTAACCAACAAAGAAAATGTCCTCCAATATATAAACCTTTCCTTAACTTTTACAATAATGGACTAATACAATATTTGTCCTTTTGTGACTGACTTATTTCGCTCAGCATAATGTCCTCCAAGTTCATCCACGTTATGCGGTGTTTTGCAGATTCTACATTATTCTTTAGCGTTGCATAGAATTCCATTGTGTGAATGTACCAAAGTTTGGTTATCCATTCTTCAGTTGTTGGACATCTAGGTTGTTTCCAAGTTTTGGCTATTGTAAATAGTGCTGCGATGAACATCGGCGTGCATATATCTGTTCTTGTTATGGCTCTCACTTCTTTAGGGTATATACCTAGTAATGGGATGGCTGGGTCAAATGGTATTTGTATTTCCAACTTTTGAAGGAATCGCCATACTGCTTTCCACAATGGTTGTACCATTTTACAGTCCCACCAGCAGTGTATGAGAGTCCCAATCTCTCTCTTTTTTTTTTTTTTTTAATTTGAATTCTATATACAAATAGACAATGATCAGACCATATATAAAAATAGAGGTTTGGCCCACAACCTGCAGAAACCTCCCCAAAAAGCCAACCAGCCAGCTTCATGACAGTCAGCCCCAAATGGCGAGGACTTGCCAACTTCCCTAATTTTTGTTTCCACTTCTAACTTAGGTCCAACCAGAAAAGAAGTCAAATATGTCTACCCTACCAATCATATAAAATGCCCTGTTCCTTAGTTAGCCTGCCCATACCCTCCAAGGAGGGCATATATGAAGCCTTCTCTTTTTTCCACTGCAGAGTTCTCCCACTCCCTTGCCTGCCTTTGGTTGTTGTTGTTGTTGTTGGCCATCGAGTTGGGGGACCCGACTCAGCGACCCCTCCTTGGGTTTCTGAGGCGATATCACTATCATGATGTAGATTGCCCAACCTTTCTTCAGAGGAGTGGCTGGTGGGTTTGAACCGCCAGCCATCTGGTTAGCAGTCAAGTGCCTTAGGCACCACGCTACCAGAGCTCCTATTGAGTCTCTGTCAAATGCAAGTGATGCTGACTGACTCCCTCCCTAGCAAGCTCAGAATAAACAGCCTTCCCTTGTTTAAAAGGAAGAAGAGTTTGAGTTCTGCTCCACATGTTTCTCCCACTATCCAGGACCGTCTGTTGTGGCCCTGTTCGCAACGGCCATTGGGGTAGCCACGCACCATCTAGATCTTTGAGAGTCAGTGTTTTGGACATCATTCATGTTTCTCCAACAAACTGTTCTCTTCCTCCAATACCCACAGGAAATGAAAAATATGAAACCTTCTTGAATCAGGCAAAGAAAAACTTGGAATGTGACAAATGTGAGACTACCACTCACTTAGAGATGATAACTGAGGATGTACCTGAGTATGAATCGACTGAGGTAAGACTAACTCCACCCCACACAGAATGTGTGCTCAGAAGGACAGTGTGTGCACAGGCTGAGGGGCAAGGAAGGCATGGTATGTCTGAGGAAGAGAAAGGCGATGGGTACAGGTAAAGCCCGGAGAGGGGAGGCAGGGAGGATGGGAGATGAGTCTGGAGAGGTGGGCAACGAACCATATTAAGGGTTTAGGCTTTATCCTGGGGGCATCGGACGACTTCAGAAGTGTTTCAAGCAAGGGCATGGCATAATTGGATTTGTGTTTGTAAAAGATCCCTCTGAAGCCACCCCATGGCTCAACTTTCTTCCAAACCATAGATAGGCCTGTAAGGTGAATAATAACACCAAGGAGATATGCACTTATTAGAATAGCCAATCAAAAGAGGTCACAGTGGTAGCATTTGCCCAGGGATAAAGCTCAGAAGACAGGAAATGATAGGAGAGAAGGACAAATGGAAACGAGAAACACAGGGAGGAAGTGGGAAGAGAACTATTACGTTGTGGGGACTGCCATCATTGCCACGAATCACAGTGTGTGTGAATTGTTGAGTGGAAAACCAGTTT